CCAATATCGCACTGATGTATTGGTGCACCTCTACTGGGCATGGCTATAAAACGGATAGTACACACTGGGCAAACATACTTATGGGAGCCTACCACAGGGAGAGGTTAGTGTAGCCCACTTGAATAAGGTATATTGTATTGTCCATTGTGTTTCAGCTCCAAATATTTTTTCAAATCATGGCGAGCCACTACGTTGAATATATTTCAACTTCCTCTTCACTCCCAGAGCTGAGCTGTGTCTTTCGTTCCCATTTCCGATGAATCCTATTTCTTCAGGACTCATGACGAGAACATCCAGTTTCAGTCATGAGTGGGAGGCTAATTAGCGCTTGACTCCTTTGTGGGGGTGTATTTGGAGTACACCCACATACTGAGCAGTGGTGAGCTATGGGGTCACCATGGCTTGAAATGCTGCAGTGTCTGCTAGAGCCCAGCCCAATGAACTATATGGTAAATCATGAGCCTTTTCGCTTTGGACTAATATCATATAAAGTTTGTACTCTTATCTAAGGAGACATAAAAGTGCTGCTTAAAATTGTTTGTGGAGTACCTGTGCCAAAACTTGCATCAGTTTTAATGAAAAAAAAAAAAAGATAAAATGTGTCAATTTATGCAGCAGAGTTTTAAATTTTTTCTTCTCATTTCCATGTGTTTAGGGAGAGCTGTGGGAGCAGGGGCTTCAGGGAAAAGAAGTTGGGGGATGGGAGGAGGGCAGAAGGCAAAGAGGCTACCTGACCCTGCCCACATTTGTTTTCCCTGCTGTAGCAGTGAGAGGGGGACAAATTCAAGGCAAACCTCCAACGATTAGATTCTATACCTGGAAAATTATAACATTTATACATTTTCCATATGTAAAATTTAATTATTGGGGGGGCATTTTGTATGTTTGTAAATATGGTATGTGCCTGTATAAAACCCTATTTGTGCATGCAGTTAGCTTACATATGCATATCTAGTTATTGCATACTTTGATGATAGTATATAACTGGAGACTGTATTTTAAAGTTTCAATCTTAGCACTTTATTTGTAAAACAGACCACGTGACCAAGACCAGTTGGCTGCAAAAAAGTACAATTTAAAGTGAAATCTTTTCAAAAGCTACATTTTCCCCCTACAGAACGAATAGTCAGTATGTGATTAATTAAATCCTCTTATGCGTCTGACCATACTTTTTCTGGAGTCATATGCGCTTTCACTTGTAGGATCTGTGTTTTTTTCTTTGTGGGACCTTCACATGATGGCATCTGGGGAGAGGAAAAATAAGGAACTGTTTCTAAGACCAAAAACTGGCAATGGAACAGAAGGGCAGGTGGTATAACTGAAAATACTTTGACCCCCTTTGAAATTTGATTCATTGTGGTTGTAGTCTCTGCTAAACATCTGAGTTGCATAACAGTTGCTGTTTGTTGTTGCCTCTTTTATAAGTGTAAAGGGGGGAAAATAAATGCCCCTACGATATGCCAAAAGAGATGTGGCTTAATGTGTTGTGTACCTTTTTGTAATCCAGTGACTGTTTATTTTTCTTTTAATCTGTTGATGAGCCTTGGAAACGGAACTGATTTTTCAAGTTCTCATTTTTAAGCAAATGAGTTCAGCGCTTTATTTTGACAAATGTGGTATCTTACACATAAGGCTGTTGTGGGTTGTGTATATGTTTAGAAATTGCTGCATCTTTTTACTTGTGATTTAGTTTTTTGTTCTTCGGTTGCTTTGACACCCTGTAATCAAGAAAAAGTATTTATAAATGTTTTGAACCCAAGTTTTGAGAATTTTGAAGGAGACTTTTGGGGAGGATGCCCTATTTTATATTTATATGGCAAATGGAGTAAGGAAAGTTTGAGTTGTTTTTATAAGGTGTGATACTTTCCCTGTTAGTAGACAAATGTTTCAAGTTCTACCACAGTAGCAACCCTGGAAATGTGGTGACTTCACAATCATATGGCAAAGAGCTAGTGGTAGGTGGGCCCCTCTGTCTTTTTTTCTTTGCAGAGGCATTATTTGAAGCAATCATACTATGAAATGCACTTGAGTCCCTTTGGCTAAATTTTAGATGTACGTCTCTTTTCTCTTTAAATTTACAAGTGACAGGGAACATAGTCACAAAATAAATGGATTTACACCTACTTTAAACCTGAAAGCCACAACCCTCATTTCCCTTGTGCTGCTTATGGTAGTTATCTAGGCTCTGAAGAGTGTCCTACCTGCTAGTCTCTAGCTTTGATCAAACACTTTCCAAATGTCTTCTGATTCTTTTACCTGCAGCTGGCATATTGTGTACATTGACCTGTCTGGAAAGAGCAGAAATGCAGGCTAGCCTATTTTCATGTACCATTGTTTTGGATACAACATTTCTGTTTGGTAGGGGAGGGGGGTGCCACTTGTAGTAGTGATTAGTAGCAAAGATGGTCCTAATGTAACTCTGATGGAAGCTGGTAACGGTACGGGATTTAAAAAGCAAGTCTTGGAACAAGAGTGCAGCAGAACCTTCTGGGAAGGAGAACAGCAGGCAAAGGCTTTGACCTTATTCATTCATCCCTTCTAAGGATGCTGGAAAGGTTTAAATGTACTAACTTGCCAAAATTCAGTGTTTGACATTTATAACTGAAAAGTAAATAGCTAAATAAGGAAGATAAAGGAAAAGCAAGTCTTGACTTTAATATTTGATTACTCTGTGACACTAGGGGCCTGGAGACCAAGACATACAATGAGAAGCTGACAGACTTGAAACTATTCAGCCTGGAAAAGAGAAGGGGGGGGGCGGACTTGGTGGTAGTCTATAAGTATATCAGGGCATACATCAGGGCTTGGGAGAGCATCTATTCACCAAGGACCTCCAGGGGAGGACAAAAAATAGTGGGCACAGACTGATTGAAGATCGAAGATCGCTTCAGACTAGATATAAGGAAAAACTTCTTTACAAGTCAAGTGTCAAGGGTTTGGAATGGGCTCCCCGCCAGAGGTGGTACAGTTATCCACCCTGGCTATCTTCAAAAAAACATCTTGACACCCACCTTGCTGGGGTCATCTGATCCCAGCAGTTTTTCCCACCCAAGCGCAAGGAGGCTGGACCTGATGATGTGTAAGGTTCCTTCCAGCCTCTAATAACTATGAAACTATTACTTAGGTATAGATGTCTTTTCATTTAAATCATCTTTAAATAGCTGATATTAAACTCTTAAGCTCAGTATTGCCGAACTCAAACTTTGGGGGGTGGTGTGCACATGGGCAGAGGTCTTTTTAAAAAAATATCTGTAGGTTTTTTGCATTCTGTCTTTTGAGCCTTTAGGATTCAGATGTCCTGGCTATTCCCCCTCTCCCCACACACTAGAAACATGAATGCCAGATGTTAGGTAAACCTCCATGTATAAAATAACTGTATACAGTATCAAGAGTTATCTCTCACTACAAGTTTATTGCTGTAGATTCTTATTGCAGCATTACACTGGGTGATATTTACAGGGCAAGCCCTTATTTCATTAGAACTTTGAGACTTTCACTGTTGAAAAATTACCATAAAGCAGTGTTTGTCAACCAGGGTGCCTTGAGGTCCTTTCAAGGGTGATATGGGTTGCTATAATGTTAGCAGTGTTAAGTATAGAAGCATGATTCACAAGATAAACCCATAGTTTTCAAACAGAAATCCATAGTGTTGAAAAATTCTGATCTTTCATGGTCTTTGAGTTGTTTACAACAGAAGAATTGCTCTGTTATTTTAATGCACTGAAAAAACAAGTGACGACTAAGAGTATGCATTCTTCCGAGGGGTGCCATGAGTAAAAATAAATAAACTGAGAACCGCTGTCCTAGAGCTACACATTTAAGTGTCACAAATTATGTTGTCTATTTTTAGACCTGACCTCACTTGTATTCTTTTCCTGCAACTCTGCTTGCTTAAACAAACATTTAAGTCTTACTTAAAGGGAAGAAAAAAGGGTGAAGGTTAGAGGATTGTTTCTAGCTTGTAATATCAAAAGCTTTGTTAGTATATAACTCCTGTCCATAATACTATATTTCTTTGAATGTGATGCACTCAAATATTCGGATACTCTTAAAATAAATAAATAAATAAATAAAAAAAATAAACAATTAAAACGATAAAGCAACAAACAGCTGCATTTGCAGGGATACAGCCATCACGATGGATGTAAGAACTCCTCCCTCGCCCACCTCAGATTTGAAAAGCAGACCATTTTTTTTGAAAGAATTGGGTATACTAGGGTTTTTTTCCAACCTCCATTTCTTGTGCTTCATGTTTCTGAAAAATTTGGAAAGACAGTAAATATATTTTTAAGCATTTCACTTTTTTTTTTTTTTTTTTTAATTCAGTTTTATGTACAGTTGCCTTGAATTGGGGCTCCATGAACATTTTCAACAGGGAAAGGTGTTACGGGTCTTGAAGTATATCAGATCATGTTGTTGGTAGAAATCTATCAATTTTGTTGTATAGATTTTCTGCAGTTTATGTACTCTAGTAATAAATTTTTTATGGAAGAGACTAACTATATTCTTAATGTAAACTTACATGTGCTATCCTTTTTCAGTTTTCAGACATTCTGGAACAATAGCAGGAAATTGCTCTCCCTGTTCAGTTCAATGGGGTGTTGTATTTTAATGTAATTATGACTATTTAAGTGCTAGCATGACTAATAATCACACACTTGGTCATTTTACTAGGAATTTGTGATAGAAGCCTATCACTTCTAGCTACAATATTAATAGCATAAGCTATTTGAATTTGTACTCTAAAATTTTAGAATGATCTCAGATTTTTTTTTTTATAGCATTGATTAATTAATGGAATATAACCTCGGCATCCTGGCCTACTCGTAATTTCCCTAGCCATTGCTTTCTCTGTTTGAGAGAGAGCAGCTGCAATTGCTCATAAGACACGTTGACTGTTTATTTAGAAAACAAAAATGGAATTAATGCATCTTTTTAAGAAAAGAAGTTTTGACCTCCACTTTTTTTTTCACTTGCTCCTTATCTGATCTTCCTCACAGATGGTAACGAAGAGAAACTAGCATCATGGGACTCTCCAACTCTGCAGGTCTTCAAGTAAAAGATCTATATATAATACTGACGGTCACAACTTCTGACACCGTCTTCTACAATATAGTACTGCTATTGCAGACATAGTATTCATCTGGAATGAAGCTAATCCTTGTGAAGAGGACCAGCCTAAAATAGGGTTTAATTGCAATGTGTGTTTAATGGATCTTGTGTTGGCTCTGGTCATAGGGTGTGCATTTGTCTCCAGTTGAATATTGTTTGTGGGTAAGTGAGATTCTTGTTAATATCCTTTTTTAATTACATGAAAATATAAATTATTTCCATATTGAAATTGTAGACTTCATTGGTGCAACTTAATTTATCCATCTACTTTCCTAGTGTAAAATTTGTCAGCTGCAAAGGGAGTTAAAGTATGCTAGGTTCCTTATGAATGACTCTAACTTCAAAAATATATTTTGTTAAAAATCGCTTTAGTGGCATAGGGAAAAATACATCAGTTTCAGAAATTTTAAAGGACTTTTTTAAAGCATGGTCCCTTGGGTTGGTTAAGCCATATTTTAGTGTGTTTTAATATAATATAGTTTCAATTTTTGTCAACCTACTGACACACATTCTTCTAAGGCAAAGATACTGTTGTTCTTGTAGTGTCTCATCTTGGATTATACCATATGCCTCAGGTATACAAGATAGAAGGGTTTGAATAGGAGTGTCAGGGACTATGCATGGCCTCAGCTATACTTTCTAATGCTACTATATAAAGGCAGGCAGCCACAACACCTTTATGTTTCTCTTTTGCTGTTTTTGGTAATAGCAAACCAGAAAACTGTCTTACCTGCTAGTTTCTAGTGTTAGTTGTTCTCCAAAAGTGTTCTGATTTTTACCTACAAGCTGGCTTGATGTACATCAGCCTGACCCAATGAAGGTTATTGTACAAACAAAGCATTCCTCAGCCCCTTGCAGACTGAAAAAAATCAAGGTCTATCTTTTCTGATGTCTGATGGAACCAGTTTCTTGAATGGGGTGCACGACTGGGTGTGTCCTCTAAGTGATTCTCAACCTTTTAATATCTCAGGCACTCCTCGGGAGAACTCCAGCTCTTTGTGTGTGGTAGTTTCAGAATTCCTCAAGGGGGGGGATCTTCTTCGTATTTGTCCTCCTATCAGAAACATATTTCCTATATGGGGCCTCAGTACTACCTTCTTAGGTTAGGAAGAGAAATTACGCACAAACTGGTTTAAGTGATCAGAAACTGGTTTTAAACCTGTAACAGAACATACATTCAGTGCGTGTAAACCAATTTAAAAATGACTGAAACTGGTTTAAGATGAACCTGGATGGATGTAGTATCAGACTTAACTGATTTAGGTTAAATTGGTTTACTGAACTTCTGTCCCAGATCCCATCCAGATTCAAGTTAAAACTAGGAGCTAAATCATAGCCCCCCAGCATCCCAGCCTGCTTTTCTAGCCCTGGGCTGTGCTGTCTGCTTCAGCAGAGAAAGTTGGGGGGCAGGAGAGGGAGGCAGGGACTGCACACTCAGGCAAACCCCAGCTGGGGTCTGAGGCCAGGGGGGAAGGTGGGGCGGTTAAACTGAGCTTGCCCCAAGTAAAGAGACGCCCTGCCTTGTTAAAAACTTACTGCTGTCTGCAACTGTGCACTACAAATCCCAGAGGCACCTGGAAGTAGGAAGAGGAAGTGATGAGCCAGAGTCTTGCTGGTATAATTTTAGACTGCAAATCCCAGGGACTTTGGGGGCAGCAGGAAGAGGAAGCAAACACACAGCCCATGCTGGCTACATGCCAGAGAGCCATGCTGTAATACCCCCTGGCTTCTGGTCTGAGCCACTGCAGGCATGTGGCTACATTTCCTGAATCAAAAGTGAATGTCTATTTATTTGTTTTTCAGTTTAATCTCTGCAGTTTAGACTAACCTACAAAGACTGAATCCATTCAGCCTCAGGCTTTTTGACCTTCTGTCCTTAGCCTTAATGCTTACGGGCATGCTTTTTGATCCATGGTATGGATTGCTGAGTGTGTTTGACCAACCATACTCTTCTTTAGATCATGTTGGCTTAGACAGTGAGCATCAAGATCTAGATTGGTCTCTATAGTCCATTACCTTGTCAGTTTCCTGCAATAGCTTCTTTTTTTGCCAGTCCTGAATGCCATGTGCCTTCAATATGTTCTCTTAACTTAGACTCCCCTGAGCCTTCTAAACTGTCTCCACATCTCTTTGTAGTCATATACAGGTCATCAGAAAGTCCAATCACATTTTTGTAGAGAATCATTAGGTGGATCATATCTGGTATCAGGTAGCCAGTGAGCCTCTCCCACTGAATATATAGGCAGATTCTGCTTCAGGAACATGTTAGTCTTACATTTTGTACTGTTGCAGTTTTGGTAAACAATGCTTTAGCTATGAAGGCCGGGTTAGATGCCAACTTTAGGGAAGCAACACTTCAACTCAAGGTAAAACTAGGGGACAATGGGCTCAACAATTTAACGGTCAGATGGGTGGGAAACTGGCTGAGAGGTCGGACCCAGAGAGTACTAATAGACGGATCTGTGTCGACCTGGCAGAAGGTAGCCAGTGGAGTCCCCCAGGGTTTAGTACTTGGACCAGTGTCCTTCAATGTCTTCATCAGTTATCTGGATGTGCGGGTGAAAAGCACACTGGCAAAGTTCACCGATGACACTAGGCTTTGGGGAAGTGCAGTCATTCCTCAGGGTAAGCTGATAATCCAGGCGGACCTAGACTGATTAGTTAGATGGGCGGACCATAACCAGATGCTGTTTAACACTGTGCAGTGTAAAATGCTCCATCTGGGGAGGAAAAATCCACAACAAACTTACAAGCTCAGTGGTGCTACACTACTTAGCACCATGTCTGAAAGGGACCTGAGGGTCATATTTGACCATAAAATAAATATGATCCACTGCTGTGATGCTACAGTTAGCAGAGCAAACAATATAATGACGTGCATTAACTGATGCATCTGAAGCAAAACTAAGGAAGTTATTCTCCTGCTCTACTTGGCATTGGTGAGGCATTAGTGAGTACTGCATTGGCATTGGTGAGTACTGCATCCAGTTCTAGGCACTACACTTCAGGAAGAATGTAGAGAAGCTTGAGAGAGTCCAGAGAAGACTACAAATGATTAGAGGCCTGAAGTGCAAGCCGTATGAGGAAAGGTTGTCAGATATGGGACTGTTCAGCCTATAAAAGAGAAGACTTTGAGGGGATTTGGTGGCAGCTTACAAATATGTTAGGGGAGAGCTTCAGGGGCTAGGTGAACAACTATTCACCAAAGTGCCCCAGGGGAAAACCAGAAGCAGTGGTCATAAACTCCTAGAAGAAGGTTTCAGACTGGATATAAGGAAAAACTTCTTCACAGTTCATGTGACCAGACTCTGGAATAGACTCCCAGCAGGTATGGTGCAGGCATCTACCCTGGAGCTCTTCCAAGAGGAGACTGGATGCATACCTTGCTGGGGTTATTTGACCCTAGCAGTCTTTCCTGCCTAGAGCAGGGGAGCTGGACCCAATGATCTCACAAGTTACCTTCCAGCCCTAAACTTCTGTGAATCTGTGAGAACTTTGATATCGCTACAATTCTTCACTCTCATGAACTGGGAAGGATACTGTGTGCCAGTCCTACAGTTGGATTCACATTCACGCATTTAAAGAAGAAAGAATGGATATTTATCTCAGTTATTATATGCTGTTTTGAGATGGCTTGGTTGCATCTCACAGTCTGTGCTTAATCTTAGCTTTATAGAGACTTTGTCAATGTAGGCTCTGATTTGGAGAACCCTAGTGAGGCAGGGTTGGCTGTATTGCCTTTTGTGTTCTCACAAGAGCGCTAGGAAATACAGAATGTGAAGTTTGTTAGGATTGGAGGGAAGAAAATTTAAGACTTTGAGTACATGAGGTGCATGCAGTGGGATCCACGCTAATTGTACATCACAAATAATCACTAGTATTGAAGAGCAAAGGGATGAGAAGGGACAGACCTGCTGTTCTCTGTTCCATGGGTAACTTTCTGTAATGTGACAGAATATTTGCTGCTTCATTTGTATGAAAAATAACTGCAATATCCTTTCCTTTGAAGTCAGACAAGTTCTCTGAAGTCACTTTTAAAGGAACGGTGTTCATTTATGTTTTCATTTTTTATTTTTTTTAATGCATTCTTCTGTCTAAATGGAGATGTCTGACAGACCTTTTTTCCAGTGCAGCAAGCATTGAGACTTGACAATTTCTCATCTGTAATACCATATAACAGTAAAGACAGCATTTTTGTTCTGAAAGTTACGGAACAGAGACACCCAGGTTTAAAAAAAGTAATCCCATTATGAACTAAAGAAAAAAATCTTAACCCTATATGTAGTTGGTGTAAATGAAGAATTTGATAAACTGCTTATGTAAGTTTCCTTGAGAGAAGAAATGGTGGTTTACTGTTCTGTAAATAAGGTAATGTTATGTACATTATTTGTGATAATGTATTTGTATATCAGCAATGTCTGGGAACAAGATACCCAACATGTGGAACAAAGTCTAAATGCTACTTTCAGTTTTCAACTTTTTTTGCCAAAGTGTAGCAAGGAGGGAAGGGTGGAGTTTCAGATAATAAATAAAAGCCTACCTGGTGCAGCAGTAATTACTCATGAAGTAAGAAAAGCATTATCACAAAATTCTTCGGATTAGAAGAAAACCATCCTTTATTGGCATCAGGTGAAAGATTCAAAAGACTCCAGGTATCCATTTGCTATAGATTAGGGGTACTGAATCTTTTTGCCTTGTGGGCCAGATGAGTAATGTCTGGTCTCTCCACTGGCCATATCAGGTTGGTGGGCCCAATCTGACCATATGGTGGGGAGAGGAGCTGTGACCTCGCTCCTGACCCAGCTGTGCAGGGTATAGGAACTTGGCAGTAGGGAATGGGTGGTAGTATTAATTGCCACTGCTTCCCTGCCACCACATTTCCGAACCAATAGGGAGTCCTGTGGGGTGTGTCATGCTTGTGCCATGGCTGTGCATGCCAAGGGTTGAGCACTCCTGCTATAGACTAATGGAAAATCTCAGTAAAGGAATTTACAAACTTGAAAGGCTCCAAAAGATGTGATAGATTTAGTCCTAAATTATATCCTTTTGAAAATCATATTGATCATATGTAGGCCCCAGTTCTGTAATCATATTTGCATCAGTATGGAGCCCTGGAATTAAATGAGAGAGAGGTAGAGAGAGGGGTAGAGAGAGCTGGATAA